CTTTCCCCGGGTTTTTGGGGGGCCCACATGGCCCTCACAAACCCTCAACCAGAGCCCCCCTTTTCCCCTCTAACAAATTTCAACCCAGCCATTTTCCCCCCCAGATTTGCTACCCCGCCCCTCCCTCCATCCCCCTTTGGGGAGGGGCAAAATTTTCCCAGCCCGGCGGGCCACCCCGGGCCCCGCAGCGACCCCCTGCCCAAGGGAAAACCCCCGGAAAACCGGGCCCCAGACCCCGGGGTTTGGCACCTTTTTGGGTTTTTCATTTGGGAAATTGAATATTAGCTCTAAGGAGGGAATACAAATTTAAAAATACATGTTTTCTTTAAAAAAACTTTAAAGGAGAAGTTCGGTTTTTTAAAACATTTTAACCCTTTTTTCTGAAAGTTTCGAGCTCGTTGGGTGCAAACGTTTTGGTTAAAACACTTTAAAAAAAACTCTGAAAAGGGAATTTCGAAAGGGGGGTTTCCCCTTAAATTTCTCGACGTCAGTAACCCCAGTGAAGGGGAAAAGATACAAACTGTTTTAAATAGGCCTCTTTTCTTTTTTCCCGGGGGCCCAGGGGAATTTTAATTTTTCCAAAACGGGAACTCAAAGGGGTTTTACAAAATGCTTAAATAAAAACATTTACGGGGAACCCGGTTTTTTCTTCACGAAACTTTTTTTGGAAGGGGTATTGAACAGCGCGGGAGACCCGGGGGGAGGGGGCAAAATTTTAAAAAAAAGAACTTTTTAAAGGTTTTTTAAAGGGACATTATCGGCCCAATGCTTATGGAAGAAATTTCTGAAAGCAAGCCAGAGGTGGATTCAAATGAGCCAAAAAAAGGAAAGAGACGGGCCCAAAAATTGTCAAAATTTTGGTTTTCAAATCATTCGATTTTCACCCTTGGACCCCACAGAAAAGGGTTTAAAAAGGTTTTAAAAAACCCGGGAAATTTTCCCCCTTTAATAATTCTTTCAAAAATTCCCCCAAAAAACAAAAAACCTAAAATTAACCTTTTTAATTTTAAAATTACAGGGTTATTATCTTTCATTATTTAAAATTTTAATGCCCAACAAAAATACAAAAAGAATCCCTTAATAAAAACCATACAAAATACAAATATTATATATAACAAATAAATAAAAAAGGATAAAATATATAAACATAATTTTTTAAAAATTTTAATAAAAATTTATATTACTTTTTTATAAAATTTTAAAATTATAAATAAATATAAAACTATATTTTAAAATATATTAAATATATAACAAAATTAAAGATATATAAAACATAATATACAAAATTATACATATATATATATATATAAAATAAAATATATACATATAAAAACCCATATTTAAAAGTTTTACAAATATATATATATATATAAATTTATTTTAAATACACATTTTATACATATATATAATATATATTTTCCATATATAATTTTATACACATATATATATATTTACATATTAATTTACATATAATATATATATATATATTTTATCAAAATTAATATATATTATTAAAACCCTATACACATAATTATAAAAAAAACTTCCATATTATTAAATATATATATTTTAATAGATATTTTTATATATTTTTTATAAAACATTTTTTATATTTTAAAATTTTATATATACAATATTTTATATACAAAATATTTTAATACATAATAAAAAGATAATAATACTTTATACCTTATATACTTTATATTATTTTTTAACATATATACATATAAAACCAAATTTTATACAATAAAACCCCTTTTTAAAACATATATACAAAATATATATATATCCCATTTTATACATATATACATTATATAATACATATATTATATAAAATTTAATAAACATATATATAAATTACATATATACATAAAATCCCATACAAATAAAATATTTTTTTATATACATATATTAAGTTATATATTTTTATTTTAAAATTACAAATATATATATTAAAACAAAACAAAAATATTTTTTAATATACTTTCATATAAATATATAAAATATATTTTTTAAAAATTTATATATAAAAATTTTAAAAGATATAACAATATATAAAACATATTAAATTTTTAAAATATATAACACAATATCCCATTTTTTAAACATTTATTTTTAAAATATTTAAATATTTTTCATATTTATATTATACATATTAAAAATTTTTACAAATATGTTTTATATTTATAAAATATATATAATTTAGTTACATATATATTTTAAAATTTATATACATTTTAATAAAAAAAATATCCCAAAATTACATATATTATAAATAATATATAAAGATTTTAATTTAATTATAAAAATTTTACATATATGTATATATAAAATATAATAATTTTATACAAATATATAAAATACTTTTAAATATAATATAAAATTAAATTTATTATAAACATTTTAAAATAACATATAATATACTTTTATTTTTAAAATTTTTATTATATATATATATATACAAAATAATACAAAATATATAAAACCCCATAAAAAATATATTTTATTTTACATAAAATACATTTTATTTTTTATACATATAAAACATAATAAAATAATTTATAATTTTATAATATAATTTTATATATATAAAATATAAATAAAATTTTTTATATAATAAATATATTTATATATATAAATTTTTATAAAATAAAAATAAAATATATACATTTTTGAAAAATATATACATATATTTTTTACAATATAGTATTTTATATATACCCCTTTTTTTTTAAATTTTACAAAACATATATAAAATTATTACTACATTATATTATTACATAATTTATATATTTATAAAATCCTTATTTTATAATATACATATATAAATATAATTTATAAAATTTATACAATATATAAAATATTTTACATTTTATTTAAATTATAGTAAACATATTTTAAAATAATTTTTATATAGTATGACACAGTGATTTATAAAAAAAAAAAAAAAAAAAAAAACCCCCCTACAGCCCAAATACAAAAGGGAAGAGATGGAATTGCTTTAAATTTCCTTCCCAAAGAGGCTTTAAAAAAATAGCGGGCAAAAAAACCCTTTAAAAAAAAGGTTTTTTCCCCTTTTGAAGGGGAAAAACCCTTTTTCCCCAAATTTTGGGGATCCTACCAGAGCTACAGCAGAAAAAACTTATGCCTTTTTGGGAGCCAGTAGCAAAAATTTTGCACAGGGCCTAAAAACGGTGGTGGGAACTTTCGCCCGAAACTTCGGAACCGCGGGCCCCCCGTTTCATTTCCCCAACCGAAAATTCAAATGAAAAAAAGGGGGAAGCTTTAAGGAATGTTTTAAGCTATATTTCATATTTCTATGAGCTTCCTAGCCAGAGCTACAGCGGGAAACATTTAAAAAACCCCGTCAAAAGACATGAAAACCAAAAGGTTTAGGTTGCCCACTTCCAAAAAATAACTTTAAAAAAATAAACTTATTTAAATTTTTAAATTTTTTTAAAATATAGAAATATTTTCAAATTAGTTTTTTTTTGGGGTGAACGGGGGAACCGCCCTGTAGAATTTAAATACGGGCGCTTAAAGGATTTTTTTTTATACCATTGCTTCCAAAAGGGCTTGAAATATTTTTTTTTTTAACTTGGCGGGCATTTGCGGGTTTTCAAGATTTGTTTTAAATTTTCCCTAAGATATTTGCAACACTTTCTAGATTGAAACGCTAAATTTGTACCGATAGCAAAAAAGATGATTAAATTTTGGGAAAACCCATAAGTTTAAATTTACTAGAAAACCCCAATGCAGATCTCCCCCCCTATAACATGTAAGATGTTCCCCTTTTTTCCCATGTTGTGGTTTGTAAGCTTTGCCGCTGAGTGAAATTGGACAAAATTAAAGGGGGAAAAAGGGAAAAGTTAAACCAGAATCAAAAATGATCAAAATTGTTCCCAATTTTTGAATGGCTCTATGAAGGGAAAACGTGGGCATGGCTTTTTTTTCCCCCTTTGAATCTTTTTCCTTCTGGTACCCTTAAAAAAGAGGCCCCCTTTCACCCCGAAACCTGTTTCAGCTCCTCGGTGGTGGGGGAAGGGTCCCCGGGCCTAAAGGGCCTTTGTTTGTTTTTGAAACCCCAAATTCCTCAATAAAAAACTGGTTTCTCTAGTTCTAACAAGTGCTGGGGGGGCCTTTTTTGGGGAAAAGTCTTTTTCTGGACAGAAAATCTTGCAAAACAAATGCAGAAGTGTAATATTAAACATGAATACTGAATATTCACACTAAGCATCAATTAAAAAAAGGTTGTGAATGAATTTAATTCAAATTTAAGTCAAAACGGGTAAATACTTTTTTTCCCGGGTGCAAGGGGGAAATGGATAAATTAAAAGGGAAAATCCCTGAAATTTGGGGTTCTTTGTCTGCTGTACCCAACCCATCCGGGAAATGTGTAGGGTCCTCCTTCCTATCTAAGAGGGGATCTACAAAGCCCAAACAGGGGGACCCCTGTGTTTTTTAATAAAAACCCCAAGTGGGGCCCCCCAAAATTTTGGTAATGCAAATAAAGGGGCCCCCCCTTTTGGGTTTTGTATAGAACGACACCCGGGCCCCAAAAACTTTGAAAAATTTAAAGACAAATTTGGGCCAAACGGGCCCCCATTTTCCCCCCGTAATTGGGGGGCGGGGGACCAAACAAAGCTTTGTAGATGAAAATGAAACCCAAACAACACATTTTGGGTTTTATATAACCTGGGTCCCGTGGGGCCGTCCAACCCCTTAACCAGTTTTGGTGATTTTGGAAGGGGGTTGAGGCATTTTTTAAAAAATTCTGGGAAGGAAAGGGAAAACCCAACCTTGAGATTTTCTTTTTACTCTTTTTTTGTTTTTAAAAACGGGTAAGTTCCCACCTTTTTTTTTTTAATTTTTTTGGGGATTTTCATCCTTTGTTCCATGTTTTTTTATTTTCTTTTGTTTTAAACGAGTGATTTTGGGAAAAAAATTTTTTCCCAAAATAGTTAACATTTTATAATATGCTTTTTTTTTCCACAGAAAAAATGAGGACCAAAAGACTTTCTCCTGAGAAGGAAGCCTTGTACTTCATCTCTTCAGATCAGGACAAAGCCATATTTCAGAAGACATTTATTAACAAAGACAAAGGTATGTTTTGCTTGAGAATATAACTTTTTCGGTACCACATTTTCTTTTCAAAACCCTCAAGTAGGTTAAATTTTAAAGGACTCCATTTGTGTTACAACACTGAACTGCATATTGCTGCAGTCTGTGCATATAATCTTCATTATGTTTTTTTTTTTTTTTTATGTAAGGTTTAGCCAGTTCAACATTGTTTGAAAATATTTACTTGCTTTCATGTGAAATGCATATGGAAAGCTAAATTCATTCCTTATGTTTATCAGGTTATGGAGTTTTTGCTACTGAAGACATTGAGCCACAACAATTCCTGCTGGAATATGTTGGAACACACATCACTGGCTTTGAAGGAGAGAACCTGCTTAATGAGTATTCAGAAGTAGATGCAGCATTTTTGTTTTTTTACAAATTTCAAGGAAAAAGCTACTGGTAAGTAAAATTGCATGAACCTCCAAACTATGAATCTAAGCCCAGGTGTAATTGTAATTTTGTCCATTTGTTTTTTTAGCGTTGATGGTAGTAAAGATACAGCAAGACTTGGAAGATTCATGAATGATGATAACATCAAACCAAACAGCAAAGTTAAAATCGTAAGTATCACAGCCAGAAGTCACTATTTATTAATTTATTAACTGTTTCATTGAAAAAAATTAATTTGTTTTTGTGACTTTGTGACCAACCAGGTATTGGACGAGCAAAAAAGACCACATCTGTGTGCATTTGCTATCAGAAAAATACTGGCAGGAGAAGAAGTTGTATTTAAAGGAATAGTACACCCAAAACATGATTAGCCTTCATTTTCTACTCACCCCCATGCTGAACAAAACTCTGGAGTACTTTTTTGATATCTCAAATGCATCTGGAGATCTGGGAGGCTTCTTGCTGTCTGCTGACATTCAAATAATGGAGGTCTATGGCGCCCGAGACAGAAAGGTCCACAAAAGTCCACAAAAACTTGTCAATATTCCTCCATACTGCTCGTCCAATGTAATCCAAGTGTCCTGAGTGGGTAGCATCCAGAATTTACTCGAAACGAAGTCATTTAGAACGTTTTAGAGCCTAAACAGTAGTGTATAGGATTTCCTAATAGCGCCCCCATGCGCGCTCACGATTCTACGGAAGCCGGCAGACCAAACCAGCGCATTCAGCTCGGCAAAGAACTCATGCTCTTCCTCAACACTGAAGTCCTCAGACATTTTTCTTTCGTTGTTTCTTTCTTTGCACAGGTAAACAGCACATTTCTTCTTCTACGCTTGCATTATCGGCAGACCAGACGCTGAATGCGCACTTTCTTCCGGTTTGGTCATGGGGGCGCTATTAGGAAATCCTATACACTACTGTTTATGCTCTAAAAACATTCTAAATGACTTCGTTTCGAGTAAATTCTGGATGCTACCCACTCAGGACACTTGGATTACATTGGACGAGCAGTATGGAGGAATATTGACACGTTTTTGTGGACTTTTATGGACCTTTCTGTCTCGGGCGCCATGGACCTCCATTATTTGAATGTCAGCAGACAGCAAGAAGCCTCCCAGATCTCCAGATGCATTTGAGATATCAAAAAAGTACTCCGGAGTGTTGTTCAGCATGGAGGTGAGTAGAAAATGAAGGCTAATCATGTTTTGGGTGTACTATTCCTTTAACTATGGGGATGATGCGTGCAAATGGCGACAGGTATGTAACTTTTAATTACATAAATTTCTATTTTTTTCACGGCATGTTTTTCCAAATACCATGAATCTTAGAGATTATATCTTCATCTTTGATTTTTACTATGTTGTACATGTGCTATGCAAACCTCCACAAATTTCTTTAAACATCTTAAAACTCTAAATGCAAAGTAGATTTTTAAAATACTGTCAATGGTTAAACAAACCTTTGTCATAATTGTGTATAATTAATAAATTTAATCCTGTAATTCAATTTTTTTTTTAGAAGACTGCTGCATCCTCTTGCAATGAGCAGACGGAAAAGAAGGTAAAGATGCATGGAAGTTTCTTTGTTCAGCTACATTGAGTGAAGAAATTCTAAACATTTTCCTACTAAGTCCAGGTTATAGTGTGCTTGTTCTGTGTATTTGATTGGTTTTCTATTATCTAATTGAGATCTCCCCCCCCCCCCTCCTCAATATTAAAGGAATCCCGATGGAAGAGCTCACTAGAAAATCTCGAGTCTGACCCTGACGTGACGAAAATCGATGGTCTTCTCTTCAATCCAAAAACTAAGATTGCAGATGGATGCAATGGGGCAGAAGTCTTTCCAGGACTCTTTGGCAACTGCCATGTGGCAGTGAAACGAGTTGTTAAACATGTTGCCAACAAAGAAATGGAAATGGCAAAATTACTATGTTCAGAAAAATTAATGGTGAAACATTTGTTGCAGCCCCTTGAAGTGTTGGAAGACTCGTGCTTTGCTTATTTTGTCTCCCCTCTTTGTGAGTATAATCTCAGAGACCTTATTGAAAATAAAGATTTTCCTGAGAGACAAAACCTGACTGAGCAGTGGAGACTGGGAATCTGCAAGGAGTTATTGCTGGGACTTCAGGAACTCCACTCACACAGAATTTTGCACAGAGATTTGAAGCCTCAAAACATCTTGTTTGGTAAGTTAAGGTTAATGGGCAAACTGTACTGTACATTTATGTCATGATAATTATATGACAAATTATATTTTATTTGTCTACAGGTGTAAACAATAAATTGTATATTGGAGACTTTGGGGCAAGCGGAAAACTAGATCCAACAAAATTCACCACTTCTTCACAAATATCTGTAACTTTGTCCTGGTTGAGTTACGAGCAAGCTCAAGAGCACAAGTACAAGAAAGAGTCAGAAGTCCAAGTATGTTGACCTTGAAAATACTAATTAAACTGCATATCATGATTCTTTTATTATTATTATTGTTATTATTTATTATTGTTATTTTTCATTCTGATTTGGCTAGTTAATTGTCAAGAGTTACTATTAAAAGCTTATGACTACAACTGTGAAAGAGCATTGTTTTAATGTAATTTGTTACATTTTAGATCGCTGGATGCTTGATGCATTACATCCTCACAGATGGTCAACATCCCTTTCAACAAACAACACCATACTACAAGAATGCCTTTGGGATATATGAAAATGTCAAAAATGGCAATTTCAATCTTCACTGTGAGGAAAGATGGAGCAGCCAAAGAGATATGATTTCCCGGATGCTGAGTAGATCACTCGAAGAACGTCCCACCATTGAAGAAGCTCTTCAGGCATTCATGTGTGAGTACTATTGCTTTAAATATATTATCTAATCTTATGGGCTGAAAGCACTATCTTATGCAACTCATGACAACTGATTAACTGTATTTACAGGTTTGGCACATCAACCTGATTATTATACTGCAACTGTGGTAATGTGGCCTTTTTGTTAAGTTGTTGCATGTTTTCAAATTTTTGATGTTCTTTATTTTTGAACTCGTTTGCTTGTTTTCAATTTTGTGTATTGCATGTTTTTGTTTGGAGGCCACATTGCCACTCACACCTGGACACGCCCACAGCAACGGCACAGGTGTTCCCAATCAACCAAGCAGCGTGCCGACTGGGACGCTGATTAAAAAGGCAGCTGTTTGGTTGGGGAGACACACCGGACATGGGAAGGTTTGGTTGGGGAGACACACCGGACATGGGAAGGTTTGGTTGGGGAGACACACCGGACATGGGAAGGCCGATCTTGGAGGGAGCCGGACGGAGCGGGTGAAAGAGAAGCAGCGGGAGAGGTTTGGGAACTGACGGCCGGAGGCCCGCTGGAGTGAGGTGCAGAGACGCGCACCGGAGCGAGGTGCAGAGACGCGCGCCGGAGCGAGGTGCAGAGACGCGCGCCGGAGAGACGCGCACCGGAGCGAGGTGCAGAGACGCGCACCGGAGCGAGGTGCAGAGACGCGCACCGGAGCGAGGTGCAGAGACGCGCACCGGAGCGGGGTGCAGGGACGCGCACCGGAGCGAGGTGCAGGGACGCGCACCGGAGCGAGGTGCAGGGACGCGCACCGGAGCGAGGTGCAGGGACGCGCACCGGAGCGAGGTGCAGGGACGCGCACCGGAGGGAGGTGCAGGGACGCGCACCGGAGCGAGCTGCAGGGACGCGCACCGGAGCGAGGTGCAGAGACGCGCACCGGAGCGAGGTGCAGAGACGCGCACCGGAGCAGGGTGCAGAGAGGCCCGTCATGGAGCGAGGCGCAGAGGCGCGTGTTGGAGGTGACCTCGCAGGCCAGCTACGCTGGAGAGGCCCACATGCGCAACGTGCCAGAACGAGGATCCAGCGCTGGGGTGGATGCGCGTGTTGGAGGCGACCTCGCTAAGGCCAGCTATGCTGGAGAGGCCCACACGCGCAGCGTGCCGGAACTAGGATCCAGCGCTGGGGTGGACGGTGCCCTCCACTATACCCGCCAAGTGCACGTCTTTTAACAGACTCGCCCAATGACTCTGCTGCTGTTCACCATCCGTATTTTTATTTTTCTTTATAATCTCTTTCCTTTTAAATTGTCTTTTTATCTTTTTTTATTGGATTTTAACCGATTAAACTTTTTAAGGCTCTGCTCACAATCGCCGCAGTCTGTTTGGTTTTATGGTTGTTTTTTTAAGACAATCGCACCTCTTGGGTGCCACAGAATTTGGCGTTGCTGGTAGGATTGCGGGGTTGTGAGCAGTGTTTTAACGGATTTTATTTTATTTATTTTTTTTTTTTAAGATCAGATGGGAATCTGCTTTCCCTTGGGACAATGGGTCGGCCGGGACGGGCCTTGTTAAAGTGTGGGGGGATGTGGTAATGTGGCCTTTTTGTTAAGTTGTTGCATGTTTTCTAATTTTTGATGTTTATTTTTGAACTCGTTTGCTTGTTTTCAATTTTGTGTATTGCATGTTTTTGTTTGGATTTTGTTTGGAGGCCACATTGCCACTCACACCTGGACACGCCCACAGCAACGGCACAGGTGTTCCCAATCAACCAAGCAGCGTGCCGACTGGGACGCTGATTAAAAAGGCAGCTGTTTGGTTGGGGAGACACACCGGACATGGGAAGGTTTGGTTGGGGAGACGCACCGGACATGGGAAGGCCGATCTTGGAGGGAGCCGGACGGAGCGGGTGAAAGAGAAGCAGCGGGAGAGGTTTGGGAACTGACGGCCGGAGGCCCGCTGGAGCGAGGTGCAGAGACGCGCACCGGAGCGAGGTGCAGAGACGCGCGCCGGAGAGACGCGCACCGGAGCGAGGGGCAGAGACTCACACCGGAGCGGGGTGCAGGGACACGAACCGGAGCGAGGTGCAGGGACGCGCACCGGAGCGAGGTGCTGAGACGCGCACCGGAGCGAGGTGCAGAGACGCGCACCGGAGCGGGGTGCAGAGAGGCCCGTCATGGAGCGAGGCGCAGAGGCGCGTGTTGGAGGTGATCTCGCAGGCCAGCTATGCTGGAGAGGCCCACATGCGCAACGTGCCAGAACGAGGATCCAGCGCTGGGGTGGATGCGCGTGTTGGAGGCGACCTCGCTAAGGCCAGCTATGCTGGAGAGGCCCACACGTGCAGCGCACCGGAACTAGGATCCAGCGCTGGGGTGGACGGTGCCCTCCACTATACCCGCCAAGTGCACGTCTTTTAACAGACTCGCCCATTGACTCTGCTGCTCTTCACCATCCGTATTTTTATTATTTTTTTTTAATCTCTTTCCTTTTAACTTGTCTTTTTATCTTTTTTTTATTGGATTTTAACCGATTAAACTTTTTAAGGCTCTGCTCACAATCGCCGCAGTCTGTTTGGTTTTATGGTTGTTGTTTTTTTAAGACGATCGCACTTCTCGGGTGCCACACAACCATGAACAACGGTGGATGTGAGAATCAAAATAAAGTAAGTAATTCTTTCAAGTAGGGTAGGCTAATATAACGTTAGTTATCTGTAAGAGACTAAAGATTTTTCCACAGTAGAGATTTTGTCTTACTTTGTATTCCACTGCCTAAATATGTTTATTGTCACCTGATACAGACATGTATTCACTATTTGTTGTTGTTATTATTACAGGATGGACCGCCTTCAACAAATTCCTGCCCTGAAACCTTTAATGACATGAACATTCCAGAGAGTTTGGTCACAGATCTGCCTGGCATCACTGTCAGTAACCCGCTGCCTTCATCTCTGCCGACAGAAGAGGAATTTTCTGAGTGTGAAATGGTAATGAAGTGTTTAATTACTTAAGTAGTGGTAAAGATAGTTATAAATGTATAAAAGAAATATGCATGTATGATATTATTATCTTGTTTGCAAAGTAATTAATAAATAAACTACATTTTCTTTCAGAATACTGAAGAACAAGTTTCCCCTACTCTGGAAATTTCAGATCAAGAAGTGAATGATGACCCACAATTGGAGGAAGAAGAAACTACAAAAACTGAAGTAATCCACAGAAAACCATCTTCTAAAACTGAGCAGCACTCAAATGGCAGTAACTCTCAACAATGTAAGATCACAGTAAAAATGTCTTCAAACACTGCCCATCAACGTATCTATGACAAGAAGAATTATTGTCTTTTCTGTGAGAAGCCTTATGCAAAAATTACAAGACATCTGAAACAGAAGCATTCAGACAAACCTGATGTGGCCAAGGCACTCGCACACAGGAAAGGATCATCATGCACTCCTTGCTATTGGCCAAAGTAGCAAACATGGGAAACTATCAGCACAACTGTTCTGTCCTGACCTCTGGGGAAGGACTAATCATCCCAAAAAGGCAAGCAACCCGTCAATCAGCTGGAACCAACTACCTACCTTGCAAGTTTTGTTTTGCTATGTATGTCAAGACAGATCTCTGGAGGCATTATAAGCGTTGCAAACTCCGGTCAAAAGGAGACATGGTCACAAGAAAAGTTCAGGCAAGTTCTTCCATGATGTTGCCCATGGATATTGCGATTTCCACTGGACTTCAGAGGGTTCTCCAGGACATGTCATATGACAATGTAACTCAGTTAGTAAAGGCAGACTCCCTTATTATTTCACTGGGTGAGAGAATGTACCTCAGAAACGGAGAAGTTGGACGACATCAAGCAGACATCAGAAATAAGATGAGGGAACTTGCCAGACTTGTTCTGATGGCAAGAAACATTGACAAGGATGTTGTTTTTTTGAAGGACTTGATCTGTCCAGGAAAATTCAACACAGTCCTTGAGGCTGTAAAACAGATGACTGGGTTTAATGAGTTATCCAACAGATTCAAAGTGCCTTCCACAGCACTAAAACTGCGGCATTCTCTTGTGAAAGTGTCACATATTTTGCAAGGAGAGGCACTGCGTCAACAGAATGTTGATTTAAAATCAAAAGCAGAGGAATTCAACAAGTTAATTGAACTAGAATGGACAACACATGTATCATCCAATGCCCTGAAAACGCTTTACCAGAAAAAATGGAATATGCCACAAATACTGCCTTTGTCAGAAGACATCAAAAAGCTCCAGGACCATCTGAAAAACCTCCAGGTGGTCTACAAAAGAAATCTCACAGATAAACCAACAGCAAAATCATGTAGTGAACTCGCTCAAGTCACTCTGACACAGCTAATACTGTTCAATCGTCGTCGTGAAGGAGAAGTTTCAAGAATGGAACTCAGCACATATTTACAAAGGAGCCAACACGACATGCATGATGAAGTTTTAGAGAGCCTTTCAAAGTTTGAAAAAAAACTTTGTGAGAATCTCACCAGAGTAGAGATACGGGGGAAAAGGGGCCGCAAAGTGCCTGTCCTGTTCCCAACAAATGTAAAATAGTCTGTGGAACTTCTGATTAAAACTAGAGAAGAGGCTGGGATTTCCCCCACCAATCCCTACATCTTTGCTCGTCCATATAATGGATCCCAAGAGAGCTTTCGTGGATGTGACTGTTTAAGATGGTTTGCAGAAAGCTGTGGAGCTAAACTCCCACAGAATCTCACATCAACCAAAATACGGAAACATGTAGCCACAGTTTCACAACTCTTAAACCTACAAACCCACGAACTAGACCAGCTGGCAACTTTCATGGGACATGATATTGAGGTCCACAGGGAATTTTACAGACTGCCAGAGGAAACAATCCAAATGGCAAAAGTCAGACTTCTTTTTGCTCTGCAAGGTGGAATGGGTAAATTCAAAGGAAAATCCCTGGAAGACATCACACCAAACATCAACTGTAAGTAAAGGATTTCAAATACGTCTATTTTGAATGAAATATGCAATTTGGACACTGTCGGCAAAAAAAAAAAAAAATGTTGTATTTAAATATTTACTGAAAACATTTTGTTGCAGCTGAGGAGGAGTCTAGTGACTCAGAAGCAGATGTCCAATCTGAAGGGACTGTTAACAGAACTCAAAAAGGTAATTTTTTTTTGCTCCTGTATAGTAATGGTAAAGGAAAAAAATCTGAACTTAATGAATAGTTTTAAAATCATATTGTTTCAATCTGATGTAAACTTCTCATTGACACATATTTCAGAAACGTCGAAGGATAAACACTGCAAGGAGAGAACTTCATCATGCAAGGCAGCTGAGGGCAATAAAAAGTCATCATTGGCATCAAGTCAAAAGGGTATGTTTTTCAGTTATCTCTATAAAATACTGCAAATGAAAAACCTTGACTTTCATTTCCTAAATTTGGTGTTGGTGCTTTTTATTAATCAATTTATTCCTTCTCTTCCCTCATTTGCTTACAGGGAAATCCAAAAGGCCCTGGTCAGAGACAGAAAGAAAAGTCATCATGCAGCATTTCAAGGACCATCTGAAGGAACTGAAGATCCCTGGAAAAGTGGACTGTGAAAGATGCATAAAAGAGAATCCGATCCTAAGGGACAATGGGAGAGACTGGAAAGCAGTTAAATATTTTGTGCACAACAAAATTGCAGTTGTAAAGAGGAGCTTGTGCCAAGAATAACACCACAAATGCTTGGAACCAGAATCCCGACACCTCACATGATGGACAGACAATGTTAACCACTACCATTACGGAGCGTCAGTGTTTTGTGCCTGAATGCTGGGAGCTCGCACTACGGAGCGTCAGTCTAAGGGTCCCAGTGATGCTCGTCCATCTAAATGGAGCTTTAACATACTGATTTTGAAATATGAGCTGTGCTCAAACCCAGCCAGTCAAGGCAGAGGGCTGCTCATCCTGAGTCTGGTTGTGCTGGAGGTTTCTTCCTGTTAAAAGGAAGTTTTTCCTCTCCACTGTTGCCAATGTGCTTGCTCAGGATGGGAGACTGCGATAAAGTGAAGATTCATCGCATTCTTCTGGGTTTCTTAGACTTATAACTGTAACTAATTGCCTTTTATGTGAATGTTGTACAGTGCCCAAGGAGAATGTTGGTTGGCACTAGACAAATAATTTTAATATAATGTTTGGAGTCAAGATATTTACCTTACTGTCCTGTCCTGATATTTTGTTTTACTCATTTTATTTTTGTTTTTGTGCATTCATAAGATATTCATATAAACATTGCACTATTGACAAAATGTCAAAACAACTGTTTAAGTACTTCATCTATTGTTACCTTTTAAAGTAAACTTTGACTGAAAATACAAACTACTCTGCATTTGTTGACTTCTTTCTTCAGTTTTGCTAACTTTAACAAAAAATATGTATGTGATAAATTAGCTATCAGTAAGTATGCAAGTAGTGCCTGTGTTTAAAGCTGAAAGAAATGTGCTGGTGTAATGTTATTTAGATGATCATGTTTATCATTTCAAATGCACATAATGAGATCAATATAAGAATTTCTGGTTATCAATTACAACAGTTAACAATTTCTATGACAAGTTTCCTGGTGAACAATCAAATTTGAAGATTTTCATCTGTCCATCCCTACTTCATTAAGTTCATAAGTAAAGCTATTTGATAAAAGGTCATTTTCTTCTATATCTGGAGTGTGTATGTTGCTCCATCCTATCCAAGAGGGGACTTGTGTCGTTCTGTACAGACCAAGTGGGGACCTTTATTTTTCTTGTAATGCCTTTGACATGGGCTGAAACTAAAAAAATGTGGACACATTTATTTATTTATGTCTGTCTGTTTAAATGAACAAGAATTTCATCAGTGGCGAAACTTATTGTCCACCAGATTCAAATCCTACTATTTATGTGTCTGTCTGTTCCTCCGTCCGTCTTTCCATCCATTCTTCATTAAGAAGTTCAGAAGTAAAGATATTTGATAAAAGGTCATTTTCTTCTATATCTGGAGTGTGTATGTATGTTGCTCCATCCTATCCAAGAGGGGACTTGTGTCGTTCTGTACAGACCAAGTGGGGACCTTTTATTTTCTAATATTTTTGACATAGGCTGTTGTAAATTTGTCTCCAAAAATGTGCTCTGTAAATAATATTTTACTCTTTATTCTGACCATTTTGTGCTGAAGATCCCTTCACTATTAGAATGGCAGTTCATAAACAGTTTCCCCTTTCCATGCAGAGGAAACATGTCAGACAAATGTTGGGATCTTATATCAACTGAAATAGTTCACCTTAAAGGAATAGTACACCCAAAACATGATTAGCCTTCATTTTCTACTCACCCCCATGCTGAACAACACTCTGGAGTACTTTTTTGATATCTCAAATGCATCTGGAGATCTGGGAGGCTTCTTGCTGTCTGCTGACATTCAAATAATGGAGGTCCATGGCGCCCGAGACAGAAAGGTCCATAAAAGTCCACAAAAACGTGTCAATATTCCTCCATACTGCTCGTCCAATGTAATCCAAGTGTCCTGAGTGGGTAGCATCCAGAATTTACTCGAAACGAAGTCATTTAGAATGTTTTTAGAGCATAAACAGTAGTGTATAGGATTTCCTAATAGCGCCCCCATGCGCGCTCGCGATTCTACGGAAGCCGGCAGACCAAACCAGCGCATTCAGCTCGGCAAAGAACTCATGCTCTTCCTCAACACTGAAGTCCTCAGACATTTTTCTTTCGTTGTTTCTTTCTTTGCACAGGTAAACAGCACATTTCTTCTTCTACGCTTGCATTATCGGCAGACCAGACGCTGAATGCGCACTCTCTTCCGGTTTGGTCTGCCGGCTTCCGTAGAATCGTGAGCGCGCATGGGGGCGCTATTAGGAAATCCTATACACTACTGTTTAGGCTCTAAAAACATTCTAAATGACTTCGTTTCGAGTAAATTCTGGATGCTACCCACTCAGGACACTTGGATTACATTGGACGAGCAGTATGGAGGAATATTGACACGTTTTTGTGGACTTTTATGGACCTTTCTGTCTCGGGCGCCATGGACCTCCATTATTTGAATGTCAGCAGACAGCAAGAAGCCTCCCAGATCTCCAGATGCATTTGAGATATCAAAAAAGTACTCCAGAGTGTTGTTCAGCATGGAGGTGAGTAGAAAATGAAGGCTAATCATGTTTTGGGTGTACTATTCCTTTAAGTTGTTTTTTCAGCTTACATGTTTTTTGTCTTCAAAATAATTCAGTTAATTTCTTCTTTATCCACCCATCCTGGAGTGTGTATGTCGCTCCATCCTATCTAAGAGGGGACCTGTGTCGTTCTTCACCAGCCAACAGGGGACCTGTGTCATTCTGTACAGACCAAGAGGGGACCTTTATTTTTCTTGTAATGCCTTTGACATGTTCTGGAACTAAAACAATATACACAGATTTATTTATTTATGTCTGTCTAAATGAACAAGAATCTCATTATTGGCGAAACTTATTGTCCACCAGATTCAAATCCTACTATTTATGTGTCTATCTGCCCGTCTGTCTGTCTGTCCATCCATCCATTCTTCATTAAGTTCAGCAGTAAAACTATTTGATAAAAGGTCATTTTCTTCTTTATCTGGAGTGTGTATGTCGCTCCATCCTATCCAAGAGGGGACTTGTGTCGTTCTATACAGACTAAGTGGGGACCTTCATTTTTCTTGTCTTGCCTTTGACATGTTCTGGAACTAAAAAAAATATACACACATTTATTAATTTATTTCTGTCTGTTTGTCCATCCCTACTTCATTAAGAAGTTCAGAAGTAAAGATATTTGATAAAAGGTAATTTTCTTATTTATCTGGAGTGTGTATGTCACTCCATCCTATCCAAGAGGGGACTTGTGTCGTTCTATACAGACCAAATGGGGACTTCCTTTCTGTATTGCAAATCAATAAATAAAATCCATTCCTATAAATATAGAGCGAAGCAACAAGTATTAACAATTCACACAATTAAAAAGTAGACATTTGTTGATATGTCTCACATGGAATCATTCATAAGGTATATTGGGTGGCCTCAGAGAAATTTTTTTTTCTGTAATTCAAATTGTAACACAAATTGCACTCGTTTAAATAAAGATGAAGGACAAATGTTAATTTCAAATTTGGTTGAAGTACGTTTTAAAAGTGGCTAATGAATGTTTTGGAACTGAAGAAAATTTATTCATGAAAATACAAAAGAAGAAAACTATTTACTTCTGACCTTTGTACATTACATTTTATTCTTTTTGCTTTTTCCAAGTCCTGTCTTTAAATTCCTCTTTAAGTAAAACTTTTATATTTTGCTTTAAAAAATACTAAAGTGTGTTTCTAGATCCTGGTTTATTCTCATAGTAGCCTGTTTTTCAGCCACTCCACAGTCTGAAAGGGTTCTCTAGGCTCCTTTGTATTGTTAAGTGGAGTGTGTGAAAAGCACAAAAGCGACGTGTGTAAAAGGGTCATTGTAATTCATGCCCCAACCTGCTGTGGCGCTGTTGAGCATTAACTCTACACACACTTATGTCCCCTCTTGGCAAAAGGTTTAAAAATTTTCCAGATGGATTTTAACATGTTTTTAACTTGATTTAGAGCATGTCCAGGAGGGGACCTAAAAAATTTCCCCTCTTGGCCGGAGGATCCCGTTTGTGAGTTTGAAGCGACGCGACTGTCCCCTGTTGGATAGGTGCGTAAGTACGCACACACACTTGGTTGAAGACAAAGAATGGTTGAAGAAGAGGATTCAAGAATCAGCATGTTACTCAAGCAGGTTGACTGACTCACATTTATCCACATATAGTTTTTCTCATCTACTACAGCCCTCCACCCAGTTTCTCCATAATGGGTGCCATCTCACACACATCCTGAGATTTTGCATCCTCACCTCACCCATGCCAATCCCCCCACAACATTCCTCCATGGATTGGAGGGAAACATGCTGAACTATAAAGTTTAGAATGTTTGAACTTTTGATGCACAATGTTTGAAGATAAGAGGATTCAAGAATCAGTATGCTACTCAAGGAGGTTGGTTGACTGGCTTACAATTCTTCAGTCTCTTTCTGCAAATCTTTCTGATTTGCTATAGCCCCTCTGACCAGTTTCTCTGTATGGCTGCCATCTCTCACACATCCTGAGATTTTGCGTCCCCACCTCACCGATGCCCATCCCCCCTCAACATTCCATCCATGGATTGTAGGAAAACATGCTGAACTATAAAGTGTAGCGTGTTTGAACTTTTAATTCAAAAAGTTTGAATACAATACAGTGCTTGGTTGAAGACAAAGAATGGTTGAAGAAGCAGTAATCATCATGCTACTCAAACAGGTTGACTGGCTCACATTTATATATTTATTTATCCACATATAGTTTTTCTTATCTACTACAGTCCTCCACCCAGTTTCTCCATAATGGGTGCAATCTCAAACACATCCTGAGATTTTGCGTCCCCACTTCACCCATGCCCATCCCCCCACAACATTCCTCCATAGCTTGCTCTCAAACTTTGCAGATTTGAGTGGTGTGAAACCTACAAAATGTCCATTATAAAGAATATGTTTTTCTCCTGAAGCATTACTTTGGGAGATAATAAAAGTTAACTGATTAATTTCCTAGTTTTATAACTTAATGGGGCTTGGGATGCGCGTTGCATAGTGGGATGTGGTGGCCATGTTGATGGCTACGCTCTGATACAACGTTGTTGAACGAAGAGATGTAGAAATAGAGAGAAAAAAGATGGTAAAATCCCGAAAAGGATCTGGAATTTACCGGGACACATTAAATATTGAAACCAGGGACCGGTATGTTGACAAAATCAGCATTATTAATTATTTGGATCCTTATGAAGTTCCAAACAATGAGTGGAGCACCGACAACGTCTTTTTGCAAAGGTTTTGTATATCAGACGTCATCTGCTACCTTGTTTGTGGTATGAGCGCCTATACTTCAAAACAGTTCCGAAGCTACAAGTCCTTGGAGTCTCATGTGCAGTTCGTGAATGGATGGGTTAAGGAGCTGCAGATCATAAAGCCAGCAAACAGTGGGAACAGTAATCAGTACAAAGGTAAGCTGTGCTCAGACGGGCTCTGGAACCTGCTAGTTTAGTAACTGCTAACCATTAGTGCTAGCGACCACTTACGCATGTAATGTACTTTTAACTAGCTGCTATGTGTTTCAAAGGTGTAGTTAGTAACGTTAACTGCCAACCCTCCCTAAACCCTCCGGGTTTCTCACGTATTTGAGTCTTTTCCCACTGCTGCTTTTATTATTTTCCTGTAAAAGATCTCAACCTTTGCGTGATGTCCTTTTTAAGATAACAGCATGGTTGTTGTGAGAGCATGATTTCACGCCA